AAATAGCATGAGGCACCCAGAGCACCAGGGGAATTGGAAGAACTCTACAAGGTAGTTTATAAAGTATCCTAATAAGAACTAATTGTGCTCTGTCCTACTCTACTGACCTACTCTGGCTCTAATGGAGCTCTTATTAATGACATTGCCCGAGACGTTGTTCCCCCGGGAGCCGTTCTGCACGCCTGTATTTATGTAGCACATGAAGTTAATGCTCATGCTGGAGAACGAGAACAGACTGAACTTCGCTTCTTGAAAGGCTCTTCATTATGAATGAAATGGCTGCTAGTGAGATTATGCCCTAGTAAATTCTGGGATGCGAGTTGCCCTGCTGTTGGATTGGATTTGAACAGGTTCTGCCTGTTTTGATTGGCTGGTTGTTTGAGAGGTGATATGAAAGATCAGAAATGGGTGAGGTGTTACGGTTTACAGTTTAACGCCCAGTAATACTCACAGTTTTAGATGCCACATATCCTCCTGTAGCAATGGACATTCCTGAGGACAACTCAAACAGGTCATTGAGGCCGCTGCTGAGAGCAGCAGGTGTAGGAGACGGCGCAAAGGTGTTGGGTACCGATGACGGGATGAAGTTTTGGCCCACCTGCGTGACACAAACACAGAGTTCCTAAGACTTCTGAGTGTCAAAAGAGTTTAAATCACTCTAGCAAGTATTTGCGTAATCTTTCAAGCAACAGCAACAGGATTGCTTCATGTAGGCGATACCAGTTTTGCAGCTGTGTTAGGGAAAACCACACTGCAAGTCAAAAGTTTGGAACAATTCAGATTTTGCAGTGTTTTTAAAAGACATCTCCTGTGCTCACCAAGTCTGAATTTATTTGATATGATATGGCGAATTAAGTAATATTTTAACCTAAAGGAACTGTTTTCTATTTTAATATATTTTAAAACTTAATTTATTCCTGTGATGTCAAAGCTGAAAAGCAGCCATTACTCCAGGCTTCAGTGTCACATGACTCTTTAGAAAATATTCTAATATGCTGATTTGGTGCTCCAGTTATTATCAAATATCACTGGTGCTCATTTATCAATAAATGAAATAATAATTGATTTTTAATCAGTGTTGAAAACCTTTTTTCCCAGCTATAACCAGGTAACCTGGGGGGGTTCCAAAAAAGATTAAGCTGCAAAAAGATGGGTTTTCAACATTGATAATAAGAAATGTTTCATTCTGAAGGATCATGTGACACTGAAGACTGGAGTAATGGCTG